CAAGAACTCAATTACAAAACTTCACAAAAACATGTTTTTCATTATTTTGAATCAGTTTGGGACATTAACTCTAATGTACCATAAAAATATCTATATAAAGAAAAGTATACATAGATAATTTAATTGTTGTTAGATTTAGGTGAAAGGGATCTATTGAAGAAATTGAATAAAAATGAATCCTAGCAACGTTTTCATTAGTGTGAAACTGTACAAGTTGTTGCTACCACAGATATCTTATGTTTGGAAGGGGAGGGTGAGGTGAGGGGGGGTCAGCTGCAACATGCACGTTCACCATTCTACAAACTGGACCTTTAATAACCAGGACGCTCCACAGATCTCAACAAAACACGTTTTAAAGACGTACATTTCTTCAATGTTAAAAACGCTTTGTCAAACAGGTCGGTCCCAGAAAAGGTTGATTCTAATTATTAGATTCAATTTCTGTCAGTAGATTCGATTAAGTGCTTCACACTTAAGTTTAATATTTAGAGTAAAACTGCATTTGTACAGAACTATATAATCTGACACAACATGCAACAGAAAATAGTTTTACTTTCCCATCGAGTTATTTCTGAAATCCAAACATTGCATCTGTTTTACTTTCATTAGAGATTTGTCTTTTTCAGTACAGAGCCTAATTTGGCGTCTCTGCGTGGGACGTTCAGGAGCTCGGTGGTCGTTCGTCACCGCTCACGCCTGCTGGATTTCAAATACAGAGAACATCTTTGTGGCTTTGGGGCAGAATGGAGAGAGAGAAAATATCTATCTTGCTCCATGTATTATTCACAGAAATTACCAAGCTGCTAGTTTTCAAAGACACAAATTGTTGTAATGAGTCCAAATTACCTTTGGGATTTAGAATTAGTCGTCTCAGGCTCATTTTTGTTCTCCAACATTTCTTACTGATTCAATTCAGACACACCAGTTACAATGCAGGGCCCATTACGGACTAATGGGTGGGTAATATCTATCTGCAAAATAATTACAAACTGTCTTTAGCTCAACTTTGGGAGAAACGAGACAAAGCTGAGTCGAGAGACGAAGAGGAGACAGATGAGACAACACCTCTGTCCTATTGGTCAGCTTCTTTTCAATAGAAGGTGAATATATAACAGCTATTTAAAATAAGAAGTTGTATAATCTAATTGATGTGGATCATTAGAAGGTAACACTCATTTAATGAGGAGTAATTGTTCATTCATGTGATCGTTACATGTAATCTAAAGAGTATTTTGAAGTCAAATACATAAACAATGAGTTTTGTTTTACTGCTCCAGAAAACCAGATATGTCAAAATGTTTGAAATGAAAAATACAAAATGAACCTATTGTTCAACGTGCACGAACAACACTGAGCTGGAAGTTCAGTGAGTTAGCGACTGTGATCGTTCTACCTGCAGCTTTTAATGGAAAGAAAATGTGCTGTGTGGTTCGTACCATCGTCTCACAGCCAGAGGGTTCCTGGTTCGAATCCCAGGCTTTGGTTATTTGGTTCCATCCACACGACTCAGTTTTCATTTTAAATGCTTCAACTCTGCGATGGACACGACTGGTGTCCACACGAGTTCTCCAGCCTCTGGATCAGAGACGTGTGTGAACTGATCTCGTTTTAGTTTTAAGCTTTAGTAAACAATGACGCCCACGTTCTCTTCTGATTGGTTCTCATCAGTCACATGACTCGACTACCAGCGGTGAAGACAAAGCGTCGCTAACACTTCCTGTCAGTCACAGCTCCACCTCGTCCCTGCTCTGACTTTTCACCATCACTGCTCCTCCTTCAGAGGAGTTTCTGTTACTAAGCAACCAACTGCAGAGGAGACGCTCTACTTCCTGTTTACATCACATGACCTGTGTACGCTAACAGTCGTGTGACCTGTGCTTTCCGGTGTCAGTGTGGACGGAGTTTTGACGGAGTCTGAATGTCTGGACGAGGATCATCTTGTTACTGAGCATCAATGGACTCATTTCTTTATAATCATAATTAAATCGTTATCTTTTCTCATTTGCTTGCCTGACCCATGAGGACTCGCTGCGGGACCCTCCAGAGTCCTCAGACCACAGATTAAGAACCACTGGAGCTAAATCGGGGCTTTATTAGAAGTTGGAGAGTTCGTGTCTGCTGAAGTCCTCGCAGTTGCCGCCTGATTAAAAACAGCGAATCTCCGACGCTCTTTCTGAGGATGTGGGCGAGAGCATAATGTCGTCTGACACATGTTCAGTCGCTGCCGCCAGTCGAAGAGGATGGAATTTCTTTTTTCCTTCTGTGGGGGGGCGATTTCCCGACAACAAATTGCTGAGAAGACGCATCAAAAGTCAACGAGATGAGAAAAGTGAGGACAGATAGATGGGGTAACACACGGGGGAGGTATGAAGGACCGGAGCGCTCGCCGCGGCCCAAGTTTCCGAGGAAAGAGGGAAATAACCTTTCACTCTCTATCAGGTCTGATCTGGAGGTGGGGGGAGGGGATGCTTCATCTGAGAGGTGAAAATGTGCTTTGAGAATTGGCCTGAGGAGAAGAGAGCAGCGTGGACACACAGATGGAGATGTGATAGAACCGTAGAGGAGGAAAATGAATCCAGTGTGTGATGAGAACGAGCAGCTGAAATCTCTAGGATCACGACGTCTACCTGTGTGTCACAAACTCGATAGACGTTTCCTGTGAACGATCAACTCACTGCGTCTTGAGACGACCTGAAGAAATAAACCGGGTCAGATGAAGCAGAGCTTCGTTCTTTAAGAAAACTTTTCTAGAATTCCTTCCGAACAGAAATGCAAACACAAACTGATCCGGAAACATTTAATAACCATAATAACTGTACTGATGCCACAACTGCAGCTGAAACTATGAAGTCTGACTATCTGCACGGACGGTAAACACATTAAGGAGCACTAGCATGTTGTTGCTAATGCTGGGAGATCTGTGTTGTTATGAGAAGTGTGAAAGAAATTTGGTCCAAACTGATGACAGACTTTAATAATGCATGGTTTTATTTCAAATTTGTAAAGATTGTGTCTATCAAAACAACAAGCTTCTTATTGTCTTTTACAGCTTAGTGTGTGAGTGAGTGTGTGTGTGAGTGTGAGTGTGTGTGTGAGTGTGTGAGTGTGTGTGTGTGTGTGTGAGTGTGTGAGTGTGTGCTCATGCATTCATTTCAGTGTTTTAATGCAGATACATGTTGATGAATGCTGTGTTTCTCTCTCTGCAGTAAACAGAAGAACACACATGTATAGTATGTTATTAATATGTCTCATCTATTAACATGTGAGACAACTACAGGGCCGTGTGTGTGTGTGTGAGCTATAGGCCTATGTTCTCCTAATGGCCTTTATGTAACTCAGGGGAACTCATAACTCTGAGTGAGAAGCCAGGTGATTAAATCTTCATTACTGTGTGTGTGTGTGTCTGTGTGCGTGTGTGTGTGTGTGCGTGTGTGTGTGTGTGTCTTCATGTATGTGCTCCCGAGCTCTTAAATCATTTAAATTGCTCGGGCCACATGTAAACTCATTGATCAAATAATTCTCTGTTTGTTGTTAACGAACAAATCTTTCATCTTTTCATTTAGACTTTCGATATTTTTCTGAATCAATCCTGAATAAAATAATCAGAACATGTTTTAAACGGATGAAAGTGATGAGTTAAAATATATTTATAACATTATAACATGTTGCTATGTTTTATCTCTCTATCATCTCTTTACTGTCCCTCCATCTTTTTGTTTAATTCACTTCATCTCGTCTCTTGTCTCTGTTCTTACCTCTCACTACAAAGTCTCTAATGTTCAACACTCTGTATATTTACAGACGAGTTAAACCTCCACTGAGCGTTAATTAAAACCACTTTCGTCCCGTTAAATATCACGTCACAGCTAGACTGCGACGCCGTTCATCAAGGTTAACGCAGCACGGTTAAACAACTTTTCCAATGATTGGGAAGATTAATGAAGTGAGGACGGCTCGAGCTGGCTGTTGCATAAATGACGACTGTGCTCGCTCACAGAGGAGGACGCTATAAATGTGCCTGTTGAACAACTACAGCCCCCGTGAGGCTCTGATGATGGTTCCACCAGCGCTCGTCTACAGAGGGCCCGCCCACTTCCTGTTAGCGCTGTTGAAACTGACTGCAGTTCACCTAGAGGGCAGCAGCGAGATAGTCCTCAATGAGTTTAACAGCTAAAATAGTTTTTACACCTTCTGCCAGACAGGAAGTGACATTGTACATCTGGGGAACATTGATGATTATCAGTATTAGAGCCACAGAAAAGAAAATACTGAGAAGACAGTTGTTCAGCAACAGTTCGTGAAGAGATTGTGTCGTCTTTATATTCACGCTCTCACCTCAGAATAACTGATTCAAACCTGCTGCACCTGAAACAGCAACACAAGCCAACACGCAGGTGAGAGCCTGGAGACAGCTCAGTGACATCAGCGTCATTACAGAGAGCGGAGATCAGGACGCAGCCGCAGCACTCACATCAGGCCTGAGGCTCCGACAGCTGCAAACAACACTGAGTGGGCTGTGATGAGCTGTGCAGGTCGTGATGTTCATCTCCTTCTATTGATCAGTCGTAGAATACATCTCGTCTCAATACCTTCATTAATGTGGGGTCCTAATTATCGTCATAATCACGTCATTAACCGACACGTTATATCTTTATCATCTTTAGCTTCACTCGAGAACAAACTCCGACAGATGGAGATTCAAACCTCGTGTTGAGTATCAAACAGAAGAATCTGAATCTGTCTCATCTGGATGTTTAACAACTGAAACTGTTTAATGCAGCGGTCGAGGCCTTTGTCAGGATTTTAGAGAAACAGAAAGTGTGATTTCAAAACATATCAGGACGAACGGCCTCAAACAATTAGGCTCACTCCTCTAGCTCGCTACACCTGACTGTCCTGTGTGATGAAAACACGTCTGAGTGATGAAGTAACATCATCACACGTGATGTGGCCTCTGCAGCGTCCGGTTCACTGGTCTGAAGTGAGACGTGTGAACTCACCCTCTTGATGTCCTTGCCGAAGGTCTCACTGAAGCTGGAGCCCAGGATCTCGAACTGGACGTGGGAGTTGGAGCCGCCTTCCTTAAAATCCATCGTACCCGTCAGACCGGTGATGTTACCCTGGAGGAAAGAAACAGACGGATGAAAACTCACAGAGGAAAATCTGTAGAAGACGAGACAGAGCTTCTTCTATACCTTCTTTACCGATCGGGCAGATCCTGTTCCGTGGGATTTTTATTTTAGAAACTGGAGCTGAGAGGCCACACTGCAGTTTCCACTTAATTTAACTTTGACAGCACTGACATTAATAAACATTTGACTTATTTATTATTGTTACATGGTGATTTTTTATAAAGCAATTTAAACATTTAAAGAGCTGAACCAACAGTGGCTCGTTGTTGCTCACGGTGAAATATGAGTTGAAAATCATATCTCAAGCTGGACACTATTCATCCTGAAGATTTATTACAGTATTTATAAACACATAGCATATCTAGGTAATGAAGCTGCACACACACACACCAGTGAAAAGCAAGGAGCCAACTTTCTACTTTATTATAATGTGTTTTTATCTTTCCACCATTGTAAGAGAGGCCGCGCCAATATTGTTAAGTGTAATATTCAACCACATAAAATATAATGAAGTGACAGAGAGAGGCAGGGAGACAGTAAGAGAGGGGGGGAGAGAGAGAGAGAGAGAGAGAAGGGCATTGAGGAGACATTAAAAAAAGAGTAAGGATGGAAGGAATCAAACGGAGAGGTAGAGGACAGCACCGAGAGAAGTGGTAAATGAGAGAGGGATGAACAAAGAGAGAGATAAAGACGTGGTAAAGTTTCACCCTGATGACGAGGCTGCCGACGCCCCAAAGCATCGAGAGGATAAAACTTTATCAAACTGTCAGAACACTGGTTGGTCCTGTGTTGACTTTCTGCAGGTGAGTGAGCAGCTCGAGTTAGAGCTCGGAAACTTTTAACAACAGTGACTATAATTTATAAAGAAGTAAAGCGAGTCCTCTGCACCGACCGCTGAGAGACGTGTGGCAGGAATACTTCAGTCTGTGTCGCAGTAACGCCCTGACGTTCTAGAGGGGTGTACCTATGTTGTTCCTATACCACACCCATACCACACCCACACCACACCCATACCACACCCATACCACACCCACACCATAACAGTGCCGAACCTCTGCCGTCAGCTGGAGGCTGAAGATCTGAGTAAAGTGGTCTTTAGGATCAGGTTGTGTTATTTATATTGATGCTAAAATGTCATGAAGAGCCCTTAACGCACATAAATCACCATGGAAACCATCAGTCCAGAACATAACAAGAATAATTTAACATTAAATCAGTAGTTTGTTAAATAATGATCAACCTCATCAATTCATGATCAGTGATTTCTGCTCTCTGGCTCCCTTGTTGATTCCAGTGTCTGCAGAATATTTCAGAGCGAACAATGTTCAGAGAGATCTTAGAATATCCTCGCCGCTGCAGCGAAAGGCCACGGACGAAATGTCATTTCATGACTTTCATCATGTTCACGTTTGATGTAAAGCAAGACTGACGACAGCCGTCACACAGGCCAACAAACGAAATGTTTCTGCGTCACCTGCAAAGGTCGCTGTCACTGTCACCTGCAGCAGAACAACGTGTCATAATGTTACACCGTCACTGATGCTTCCAGTCAACAGTCGAGACGTGAGTTCACTGTGTTGATCTGCTGGAACGACAGAACATCTCTCACAGCTCCGTGTTATTTTAGTGAAAAAGAGATGGAAGCAAAACAAAGTCTGGAGCCGCAACAACACGAAGTGACAGACGTGTCCACACGGTTGTGGAGCTGCTGACCTGAGATCAGATGACTGACTGAACTTTCAGCCGATCAGAAGCAAACGTCTCAACTGAATCGTTATTTTAAACTGTACAAGACGGAGGTGTGACTTTACTTTACTGCTGAAATGAATTAAACTCAGACGATTGATTGTGTTTATGATGATTTGCAGAAACTCAACGTTCAGTTAGTGTCGACCAACGTGTTCCTGAACTGTTCACAATCTGAACTGTGAAACATTAGCTCATGGCGTCTTGAGTTTTTAACATAGTGAATTAATGTGATGACATGTCTTATACACACACACACAGACACACACATGCACACACTCACACAGGAGGATGTCTTCTATATGCAGTATTTTTAGTAGCCTCTCATCCACAATGGAAAGTTGTGTTTTCATAATCATTAACGTCACTGACAGAACGTACTGAAGCAGGGATTGTATTTTCTTCTGTCAGCGTCAGTGAAGAAGCTGCAGTTGTGTTAAAGGTTTGCATCATGAATGATTTCAGGGCTTGTGATGCACAGTGTTTACATATCATGAGCATATTAAACAGGACACAGAGAAAGATCGATCACTAACGAGCTCCGTGCTTCTGACCAAAAACAAACTCATGATTTTTAATTTACGAAGGAAAAAACAAGCTCGGAGGGACTCGTCAGTTTCACCAATTAGACTGAAAGAAGGAGGATCAGGTGATTCGATGCTGCATCGCACATGAATGGATTTCACTGTTTATGTTTCACCGGCTGCTTCTCATGTTTGATTTAGTTTTTCTTTCTTGATTTCTTTTACACTTCGTTCTCTTCAGGGGTTTATTTGATTCAGCCCTAACGACCTCAGGAGGTGATTCTGAAGAAGAAGAAGAGGAAGAAGAAGAGGAAGAAGAAGAAGAGGAAGAAGAAGAGGAAGAAGAAGAAGAGGAAGAAGAAGAGGAAGAAGAAGAAGAGGAAGACACAGTAGATGGGCGATAATGCGCCCTGATGTTTGTTGCCACCGGCCAATAAACCGAAGAACAAGTCGTGTGTGAGCTGTTTAAAAGCAACAGAACGGATCATGGTTCTCACTTTCAAACTGATAATCATCCTTGAAAACCAGAATCATTCACAGTTCAGTCCTGAGTTACAGGATGAGTGAACCGTGCATCATTTCACAGAACGTGAAATAAAAACGACTGCTCTCGAAAGTAAAGTGTTCAAAAGACAAAGCAGGGTTTCATGACGGCACCGTGACTTTGACCTTTCACCTTTCAACGCCAAATTCTAATCAGTTCATTTTTGTACCAAATTTGAAGAAATCAAGTAAAATCGTTCACAGTGTTAACAAGTGGGAAACATTATAACTCCGCCCACTGAGATTGACAACGTATGACTTGAGGTTTCCATGGAAACACTGAACGAGGTTTGCTCTCGTTCTGTAAACGCGTTGGTTTGGGTCGGTACCTTCTGGATGGTCTCCAGCATGGACCAGCCTCCGTTCCAGGGCTTGGTGGACTTCCTGATGCAGTTGAGACTCGCCATACTGTGCCACTTCCTGTCCTCCAGCTTCCTGTAGAAGGCGTTGGCCAGCATCAGCACGCTGTCGTACAGGTAGAGGTTGGACACCTGGACAGAGGACGAGGACAGAGGAGACGTCAGAAACTTTGTGGTAAAACTCAAAGATTCACCTGCTTCAGACAGAAAATCGAAGACGTCTGTACGACTTCAGACGGATAAAGAACGTGTGTGAAAATAAACAAATCTGTCAAGATGGAGGATCTCCACAAAATGAAGCTAGAATATGAGCGGACGAATTGAGGATGGAAGGAAGGAGGGAAGGAATAAGAAAGGGACGGAGAGCAGACGGATAATTAAAAGAGGAATATTTGTAAAATCAGGTAGAAAGAGAAGAGATGAGAAAAGAAACAGAAAAGAAAAACAAAAAGAACAAGTGTCGTTTCAGTTTGCGCCCAGAAAATGAACGAGAGCAGTTTCAATCATCACGAGACACAAGGAGAGAAAAAGAAGAGAAGAAACGACTCAAGGAAAATGAGCTGCAGCTAAAGAGTAAAAGAGAGAGAAGACGAGAATGAAGGAGCTGCAGTGATGGAACGAGGGAGGAAAAGAGGGAAGAAGAAGACGAGTGCGAGACCTCGTAGCTTCACACAGATCTGAACACACACGTCCAACACACACTCGTCTTCACCAACGTCAAAACAAGAACAAACACATTTGTCAGCATGAATTACAGTAATTGTTCTGTTTGCTGTTTTTAAATGTCAACCACACGTCACACTGTGTGTGTGTGTGTGTGAGTGTGTGAGTGTGAGTGTGAGTGTGTGTTGATAAATGGAGTCAGTCAGTCTGCAGGAGAAGAAGCTTCGTGACTTTCCACCACAACAAACACAACATTCATTCTGACACCAGAAGAAGAAGTAAAGGTCGCGTTGAGGTCACGTTGTTGATGTCGTCACTGATCGTCCACAGGAAGAAACTGATCTACGCACTGTTTATTATTTCAAGATGCTTGAGTATCAACCATGGACTGGAACCATCTCCCAGTGAAACTCATCTTCTGAACGTGAATCTCAAAGAAAGAGATTCAGATTGAATCAGACGGTGTGAATTCAATTTAAAACAAATGAACAGACGGGAACAAAACCTTCTTGGCGACGACAATAAAGACAAACGACGTGTCTCCAATTACTCTCGACGGAAAATAAGCCGAAAAATCTGGGATGCAAACTCTGACACGTTGGGAGTCTGAGCAGCAGCTGTGGTCGAGGTCAGCTGTCAATCATGACGTCTTTTTATATATATATATATATATATCATCGAATAACTGATTCAAACCAAACTGATCAGAAACACTAAACATTGTTTAACGTCTGCTTTGAGTTTTAGTTGGGTCCATGTCCCATCTGTTAACATGGAGGAGGAGGGTTTATGATCTATACTGCAGCCAGCCACCAGGGGGCAAAGACACAGTATGGTGGCTCACAGCTCTGGGATCAGTGACTGGCAGCTGATCTTTAAACTCTGACAGAGTGAGGTGTTCGTGTGGGAGGAAGAGAATCTGACCCTGGAGCAGCTCTGGGTTGTTTCCCAGTCTGGATGTTTCTCTTGTGTTTGACTTGAGACCGTCACTGAACAGGAAGTTTATTTAAATGGCTGTCGCTGTCCATGACCACAGCACGCCACAGAGGATGAGGAGGAGGAAGGCCCCGCTTCAACTGTTTCCTCTTCATAACCTCTTCTTCTTCTACTGTTTATTGCAGCCACATACTGATGTGTAGTCTATACCGCCACCTTCTGACCACACTGCACTGCTCGTCACTGTAAACATGGGGGGACATTTGGTCGTTGCTCGTCCCTGAGTCACCAACGTGGTTTCTGTTGGCTCTTACTTATTGCTTCTATTATTATATGAATATAAATGTATATATATACAATATAAATGATATTATGTAAAAGTTTTATTTTCTGAGACTTGAATTTTTCTTTTCGGATCAATACTTTGTCCCTTTTACTGAATAAACCGCTCTGAATGAATCTTCAGGTTTTTCTGTTCAACACATTAACTCCTCTCTGTCGCCTGAGACGATTTATTAGCTGAAGGACGAAGATGATTCTGAACAAAGTGAAATATTGAGCAATATAATTAGTAGTTTGAGAAAACGAGTTCTGAACTGGAGGTAACGATTTATTAAAAGTTTTCATCTTCACTCAAGAACTTTTCAAAGAGAAGAAGATCCAGACTTGTCAAAGTGAGGACGTTTCAGAGACATTAAATTTAACGTGTGAAAAGAAATCTGAGTTCCCTCATGTTCCCAGGAAGTGATCTCTTTCAGAATAAAAGAAATCTTTCAGCCCTCTTCAGGAGCTGAACCTCAGCGACGTCTCATCAGCAAACATCGAGCGTTACCTCCAGGTTCTGCAGGTATCCTTCCTGCGGGTTGCACAGCAGCGACGATATCCGATGGTTCTGCCTCATGCAGCGGCTGCTGCCGTCCTTCCACAGCGGGAAGATCTGCCGAATCACCGTCATACGGCCCAGTGCACTGTGGGTAAGCTCCAGGATCTCTGTGTCGCTGATTTCCTGCAGGAGAACAGAAAAGGAAAAGTTACGGACGTGACTCAGATGTTTCCTCAGAGGAGCTGAGATGAACTTTAGTGTAAACTTAAATTGAAACTTTAGTAGAAGTAGACATGGTTACAGACTAATAACAGTAATTACAACATTATTAATTATAAAAACAGACACGTCCTGATTGAATCTGTCTTTATTTGATTGAAAGAGATGAACTCACAGTTTTAACTGAGTTCAGTTATCATCTGATTATTATTCAAACAGACTTTTACCTGCTGATCTCCTGCAGGAGGAGCTTCTCCCTCATTACCTTCATCTAACGAGTCATTAGCCTTTAGTCTGGAGGAGGAGCTCACACACAGAAACCTCTGATGGACTCAGCTGTCGATACAGATGGAAGCTTTAACGGTCACATCTGGAGTCGCTGTGACCTCACCTGGAGTTTTTCACGAAGCAGCTGATTTGCATTTTAATGTGTTTTTTACAGTTAGAGATCGTTTCTCATCTCTTCTACAACGTCTGCCTCCTGCTGGACGACTCAGGGAATGAGCTCTTCAGCAGGAGGTACAACAGAGACACATGTGATGAACACGTCTCTGGTGTGGACACGTCTTTAACCACACAATTACATTGAAGCTGTTTTCATAGCATGAACTAAACCACAGACGTGTCCTTCACATGTTCCTCACATGTTCCTCACATGTTCCTCACATGTTCCTCACATGTCCTCACATGTTCCTCACATGTCCTGCAGGTTCTGGATGTGAGAACAAATGTCAGAGTCAGTGTCTCTGGTCATTTTCTGAAACTTTTCCCGCAGCCTCAGAGTCAAACATCTGAAGCCGTGTCTCTGAGGTTTCTAACACGTGACGGACGTGAGACTGAAGAACACAAACGTCTCAGGATGAAGAAGAGGAGCCGTACACGTAGAAGACGAAGACGTCCACTTGGAAAGACGAGGAGGTTCCGGATGTTTTGGTGACGAGGGCCGACGTCATGAGTTTTGAATCCATTAAACAAACTGTTTCTCATCATGACTCGACTTCAAGCTGCGTTCAGGATGTTTTTAAGAGCAAATTAAGAAAAGTGTTGACGACTTGATGTTTAATTTAAACGTGTCTTTCAAGCAGCTTCAGTGAGTTTCTCAGATCCAACCTAACAGCTGCTGCTTCACAGACGCTGTTTAACCACCAGGCTTCACTGTTTAATTACTGTCCTCCTCCTCTTCACCTCTCCCTCTCATTACTGGGACTCTCCACACCTCTGTTTGTTCCTCCCTCTCTCCTCCGCCCTGTGTGAAAGTCTCTCTCTCTTTAATTGGCGTCAGAGGCGTTGTCAGGTTGTGGCTGTTTGTGTTTCCAGCAGACAGAGGGTGAAAAGGACACCGTTCTCCAGTTGACAGCACGTCTGACTCCGCACCGCCACCGACACACTCGTGACTGAGCAGCTGTCTGAGCCTCGCACAAAACAACACGACCAGGAAACTAAGATCAGCCTCTAAACTTCTGACATTCATTCGAACACCTGATGGAGCCGGACCGAGTGAACTAATACACGATGTTTAACGGTCGACAGCTTCGACCTTCTCCTTTTCATCCACCTGCAGAAAGGTGCTGAGTGGGCGTCGATACTGAAGCGTCGGCGACACCAGAGTTCACTGATGTCCTGGTGTCGAGTCTCTGAGGTCAAAGTTCAAAGTGACTCAAACATTTAAAAGAAGCCATGAAGCATCTAAATCTGCATTTTATTATTATTATGAATAGATTTCTACTTTAGTTGTAATGTGAGCAGGACCTGGTGATTCTCCGCCCACAGATCTGTGATGGAGGGATGACGAAGGACTGACAGCAGACGGGTGAAAGAAAAGAGCAGGAAATGGAAACCAGCTCGTCGTCTCTGACCTGATGACAAGACGCCTGACATCTCACTGCACCGCCATCCAGGTAGAAACGACCTGTTACCTGTCGGAGCTCAGTGACACACGACGGCGAGGAGCAGACGGGTGGGGGAGGGGGGGTTGACGAGCTGTCTGACCCTCAGAGTTTCACAGGAAGCAGCAGAGGAAACTTCGGTTTCTGAGAAAACCTTCGTTTCTCTTTTCATACGTAGAATGAAGAGAACAAATGAACGTGTTGGTGTTTTACCTCGTTCACAAACACCCAGTGGCTGTCTTTGGACGCCAGGTTTGTTTCCACCGCCTGAGAGAGAGAGAGAGAGAGAGAGAGAGAGAGAGAGAGAGAGAGAGAGAGAGAGGGAGAGAGAGAGAGAGAGAGAGAGAGAGAGGGAGAGAGAGAGAGAGAGAGAGAGGGAGAGAGAGAGAGAGAGAGAGAGAGAGAGAGGGAGAGGGAGAGAGAGAGAGGGAGGGAGAGAGAGAGGGTTAATAATGAGAACATACACAGCGTCTCAGTTTGATGCACATAAAATCCTGAGGCCTCAACCACAGATCTGTGTTGAAAGAGAGACACACACACACACACACTAGATCACTGGGATGGGTTTTTCAGAGAAAGCTGAGCGAGGAGTTTGCGCCTGCAGCTCGTCGGCTCGTCTGCCGCTGTGTGATAATCCGACACACGTCTGATGTCACTGCACCGAGCAGACGATGGAAGTTCTGTGGGTCAAACTGAACCGAGTCACGTTCTCGTCTTTTAATTTCCAGTTTCAGAAGAAACAAGACCAGAATTAAATGGATTCAATCAAACTAAAACCTGGAGAAGCTGAGAATTAACCCTTCGTTTCCTCAACGAACAGACGTCAGCTGTTAGATGAAATGTTTACAACAGTGTGTGTGTGTGTGTGTGTGTGTGTGTGTGTGTGTGTGTGTGTAAAGGTTATGTTGACGGGTGTAATATCTCCAGGTAGGAGATGTCATGTGAAGTGTGCTATGAGAGCAGGGCTGTGGCCTTTAGTATAGGTTGACCTTATCAGTGACAGCATCATCTACACACACACACACACACACACACTCACACAGGCACACACACACACACTCACTCACACACACACACACACACACACAGACACACACTAACAATCCCTCGAGGTGAAACCAAACTGAGAAGAGGAGGCGACAAGATGGAAAAATCCAAATGCAGTTGATCCTCTGACGACCATGAATCCACCAGAGTGATGATGAACTGTGTGATCATTGGCAGCGAGCTGCAGTTCTCTCGCCCCCTCGCTCTCGCCCCCTCGCTCTCGCCCCCTCGCTCTCGCCCCCTCGCTCTCGCCCCCTCGCTCTCGCCCCCTCTCATCGTGTCATCTGACGAGGTCACCGCTCGGCTGCGACCCTTCGTGCTGCAGCAGTCAGCCGCGGGTGACGGACGGGAGGACGACGGCGGCGACAGCGTCTGAGTCAGATGACTGACAGCTGCACAAATGTGTGAGAAGCTCGGTGCGAGTAAGAGCAGAGGAGATCAACCGGCCCGAGGAGCAGCGAGGCGACGGCGTCCGCGACACTTCCCACAGTTAGCCTTTTTTCTGTTTCCTCTGATTCAAGACAGAGCGAGAGTCAGAGTTTAGATCACTTCCTGTCTGGAGGAATAAAGATGAGCAGATGTCAGACGTCTGTCAATCATGAGTCAGTCTCAGCTGTCAATCATCACGTCTTGTTTCTTTATCATCAAATAACTGATTCAAACCAAACTGATCAGAAACATCTTTACAAACATTTATTTAACGTCGTCTTAGATCTTTTAGTTTGGTCCATGTCCCATCTGCTAACAAGGAGGAGGAGGTTTATGAGCTATACTGCAGCCAGACATCGGGGGGCGATGGAGATGATTTTTTAGCCCATGTTGCATCTGTTCATCGTCTTTTATTTGGATAAACACAGAATCTGTTGAACTTGAATTTAAATATAATAATATGACGTCACTTGAACGTTTGTGGCAGTAAAATAAAAACGGACTCTTTCACCCGGAAGCAGCTGATTGGTTGAACAGAGAGAATCTGTCACAGCTTCAGTTTCCTGTAGTCACGTCGATAACTCATCAGAAAACTGTTTTAACAAACGTAAAGAAATGAAAACCCTGAGGCGTCTCCTCCATCATCAACACACCTTCACATCCCTCACTTTAGTTCCACACGCAGACGTTTTTACAGAATATCTATAACTTTTATTTCGACTTGATTTGACTGTTCAGGTTCAGATTTTATGTTTTGATGATTCGCTCTGTGACGTGTGTTCATACAGCAGCTGTCAGGGGACACGCCTCAGAGAAGACATTGGACATCAGGTGTCCGACCTGTGGATGAGACTGAACAGTGAGTGTGACGGTTATGAGCTCCACGAGGTGAACGGACGAAGAGTCTCACATCAACGTGTACCTGCACATATCATTCGTTTATTTCATTTAGTATTTTCTGCTCAGACGTGCAAACAATAATTATTGTAAAACTGATCTAGATGACACAGAAACACAAACACAGCTGCTTCCTGTTTTAACTTGTTATGAAAAAGCCTGGAAGACACACACACACACACACACACACACACACACAGTCCTTCGGGGAGCGCTGCTTTTAGCAGCAACACGACCTCCTTCACTGAGACTCTGAGAAAGACTGGAGGTCGAGTGGACCCTGTCAGGACACGTGAAGACACTCAGAGCGCTCGTCCTCTGCGGCTTTGTCACAGGAAGAAAAACAACTGAGAGAAAAACGGAGAAATCAAACTGAGAGCTGCAGAGCTCGTCACGACATCCGAAAGAAAAGATGTGTTGATGAAGTAAAGGTGGCGTCTCCTGGAGTCAAATCACTGAATCAAAGATCCTGAAGATCCTGAAGTTTGATCTCACTGAGACGTCTGCTGACATCACACATCACCACACTGACCTTTGACCTTTAACCACCAATCACTTCATCTTTGAGTTCAGATAAATGTTTCTGCATCAGAAGAGACGAATATTCAGTGTGTGGTGTGTGTGTGTGTGTGTGTG